CTGCAATTATGAAAGTTTGAGCCATTTTATTCTTTATAAACACATTTCATAAGTTTTAATAAGTCAGTATCATTTTTTTGCCATGTAATAAGAGAATAAGGCTTTGAACAAGATCAGACAGTACCTCATATTTTGACATGCTATTATATGTCTTCCAGACAAAATATTAGAACAAGATAACCAAAAAGACATAACTGAAATAATTTAAACAAACCAAAAAAACCTCCTAGATCAGAAAATAAAACTACAAAGCAGTGAGGGTAATACTGAAGGTCTTCCAGGTTTAGAGGCCATTTAGGCCTGAACACCAGGAACTGAAAATGTTAAGAATAAAAAGATGGAAACAGCCTCAGTGGTGAAAGCCAGACATAAGCTAAGTCCTGGTCTACTACCAACTTACAGGAATTGATCATATGTCGAGTCACAAGAAGTCATAAATTTTCTAGGTCAGTATCATACAGATATTCTTTTAACCACAATACAGTTAATAAAAAGCCAGAAAAACAGAACTTGCCCCACCAGCTATTAGAAGGTATTTTAGGGTTGTACTGCTCTACATGTTATATGTACTGTGTAATATATATACTATGAACTGTGTTTAAAAGCACGTAACATAGGGACTAGCCGTTGATGTAGTGGTTACGTTGCTGGACTCTCATGCATTCGACCATGGTATACGTTCCAGACCTGGCGGCTTAAAATTCATGCTGGGCATATGTGTGTGCAGACCCAAGATCTCAGGAGGAGAATGGAGAAGGGATTGTGGCATGGTCATCCTCCCTGGGGGTGCTTTCTCACCCTCTGTCTCTCTGTCTCCGATGAGCACATTTACCCTGTAGCAAAAATCTCTATTTTTTTAAAAAAGAAAGTAACATAAAAGCAGTACTGTGGCACTACTACTCGTGTAGTAATGAACAGGATAGAAGACTCCAGAAATAAAAAGGAAAATATGGAGATTTAGTCTTAATGATAAGTATGATTTGTTAGGGGAGGGGAGATCATCTTTCAATTGCCAGTGGGTATATGCTTGCCAAAGAGAGAACCTACCTCTCCCAAGTGGGGCATGGTCACACTGCAGTCCTTCTTCCTCCTCAGTTTCTCTATTCCCAGGATTTTGAGCACACATGCCTGATTTGTTGTTCAAGCTGCTGGGGCTGGGATTTGAACCATGATTGGCCATGTGGCATCCTGCTCTCTATGCACAGCACTTAGTTATTGTGCTCCAGGGCTGGTCCAAAGATACACTTTTGCACTGGTGTTGGCACTATGGGAAACAAAGATAAAATTAGATCCATTCATACCATACATTGGGATAAATTCCAGTGGCGTGAATTGCCGGATACGAACTATACAGTTTTAGATAAGGAATAGATGAATTTCTGTTACTTGGGAGTAAGGAAAACAACTCAAATTTCACACATTAGTGTATTTCATTGACAGATGACAAACTAAAGGAAATAATTTGTAACTTACACCACAAAGGTTTCTTATCCCTCGTATATAAATTGTCTAAAAGAGAGAAGGTAAAGGCACATAATTCTACAGAAAATGGTAACACTGTAGAAAAAGAGCACAGTTCCTGTTAAAAATTTGAATGGCCTTCTAAAATATGAAAATTAGACTAGGTGAGTTCTGGGCTCTGTCCTAGGACCTCCCTGGGGATGCTTGCTGCATGTATGTGAACCGTGATCTGGGCCTGCAGAAACTGGGGTGTGGATTGCAGTGTAAGGACCCCAGTCGGGGGTACCTGTTTGCCTCTCTCTTCCACGTCTCTCTCCTCCTCTTTCACACAGAAGGAATAAGTAAACCTAAATTATGAAAATTGCTCAGACTTTCTTTTAAGACATAGCAAAGATAAAAATACACAGATACTACTTTTCATCTTGCAGATTGGCAAAAATCCAAAAATTTCTCAAGTCTTTGGGGGAAAAATTCACTCTCATATATTACTGATGGGTATGCAACAAAGTGCAGCCCCTGTCAGTGGGGGAAGTGGGGACAGAGACGAGTTTGGCAGTATCTTGGAAAATTACTTAAGCTTTTAGCCACTAAGTACGCAATCTCCTATCTAAGAGTCTATTCCAAAGATAAAGTAGCACGAATACAAAGTAATTTAAATAGGAGTTCACTGGTACAGCAGAGTCCCCAAATCCCTAGGCCATGGACCAGCCTTGCCAGCAAAGGTTCTTCTATAGTCCCAGCGTCTCCCCATAACTCACATTGGTGCCTGAGTTCTGCCTCCTATAAGGTCAGCCCAGGGCATGAGATTCTCCTAGGATCCCCCAGTCGAGACTGTCAAGTTGCAAGAAAGCAAACCCACTGGTTCTGCATTATGCTGAGTTGTATAATTATACAATAAAAATAGAAATAAAGTGCTCAGAAAGTGTAATACACTGGAATCATCCTGAAACCCACCCCCTTCTAGTCTGTGGAAAAATTGTCTTTCACGAAACCTATCCCTGGTGTCAAAAAGTTTGAGGACTGGGAACCAGCAGTTAGCGTAATGGCTATGTCGCTGGACTCCCACGTAGTCGACCGCGGTTCGTGTCCCGGACCTGGTGGCTTAAAACTCAACGCCTGGCGCGTGTTCATGCGTGCCCAAGATCCCGAGAGGAGAATGGAGGAGAAGGGATTGCGGCATGACCATCCCCCCTGGGGGGTGATTTCTTGCTTTCTGTCTCTGTGTCTCTCTCTGTCTGTCTGGCGAGCGCACACGCCCTACAGTGAAAATCTCTCCAAAAAAAAAAAAAAAAGTTTGAGGACTGCTAGTGTATAAGTACTTCTTAAGTTTTTGCCATAGGGTGTATGCACTCACCAGAGAAAGATGGAGACAGTGGGAAAAAGAAATCACTGCCCGGGAGGATGGCCATATTGCAGTCCCTTCTCCAGTTTCTTCTTGGGATTTTTGAGTGCATGCGTCTCAACCCTCCCGGGTCAGAGACTCGAACTATTGGCCATGTGGGAGTCCAGTGCTTAACCACTCTGCCACCTGCTGGCCCCTGCAGAACTCTCCAATAATATTGAAAACTATAGGAAGTTGGCTGAAGGGAGTACTTACCAGCCATTAAAAAAACAAACAAACAAACAAACAAAACAAAGAAAAATCTATATACTGCTTTGGATTGATCTTAAGGTTATATTATTGTTAAGTAGGAAGAAAAAGCAAAGGTGAAGGATTTTTTGCTGCCATGTGTTCAAGAAGAAAGACGTGTGTGTGTTCTTAGTGGTTAAGGAAGCCAGATCCCATATGGACAACCAATGTTCGAATTTCAGCCCCAGCAGCTTGAAAAACACACCAGAATACATGTACATGTATGCCCAAAATTCGAGCAGGATGAAGTTAGGAAAGAGAAGGGTTGCATCATGCCTAGGCCCCATTGGAGGGTGCTTTCTTCATCTGGTGAGCATGCCTCTGCTTTCTGGCAATAAAATTAAATAAAATAGCTTTACCACATCTACACCCATCGAAGTATCCTTACATTCTTAAAAGGTAATCAGCCATCATGTGCCTCCTCCTTCATCTTATTTAGTACTGTCAGTGAAGTATAAACAGTTTCACTAAGGCTCTATATCTAGGATGTTTACAGCAAATCAGTGAATAGAGAAATGCTAAATGGTACTATGGTGGTGGAGCAGGCAAAATCCAGGCTTTAGAAAATTAGGTCAAGTGGTAGTCTCTGACAACAAAGAACGGAAAGAAAGGGGAACCTATATATTAAAACAATGGTTTTTTTTATTGAAACCACAGCTCTTGGGAAACCAGCAGATGGCATAATGCTTATGTTGCTGGACTCCCACTTGTCTGACCACGGTCCGAGTCTCAGATTTGGTGGCTTGAAACTCAAACCAGGTTCATGTGCGTGCCCAAGACCCCTAGAAGAGAATGGAGGAGAAGGGATTGCAGTATAGCCATTCCCCCTACGGAGTGATTTCTTGCTTTTTGATTTTCTCTCTTTCTCTCTCTGTGGCAAGCGCATGTGCCTTATAGCAAAAATCTCTCTCTTAAAAAAATAGTGGTTCTTAGGCTAGCTAGGTGGTACAGTGGTTAAGGAGCTAGATTCTCCGTGACCAAGTGTGAAGTTTGAGTTGGATCTGGTGACTTAGAAAATACATTGGGCACTTGTGTATGTGTGCCCCGAATTCCGAGAGAATGGAGGAGAAGGGATTGGGGGGCTTGGCCATCCCCCTAGAGGGGTGATTTCTCACTTTCCTTCTCTCTCTCTGGTGAGTGGATGTGCCCTTATAGCAACAACTTAAAAACAGCTCTCAATTTTGGCATTCATTGAAAATTGCTAGGAGGATTTTTAAAAACATAGATTACCATCTTTTCTTTAATTTGCTGCAGGGTATATGTGCTTACCTGAGACAAAGTGAGAAAGCAAACTGCCAGGTCCAGGACTTGAACCATGGTTGGCCATGTGGGAGCCCAGCACCTCGACTACCACACCACCTCCTGGCTGCTAGATTGCCATCTTAATAGTTTCTCATTCAGTAGCTCTGGTTTAGGCTCCAGGATTGTGCATTTCTGAAAAGTTACAAGGGTGGGCCCTGTAGCACAGATATTAGGATGTCTCTCTCTCTCCTCCACCCTCTGGTTTTATGGAAAAGATAGATAACCTTTTTTTCTTTCTTCCTTTTTTTTTTAAAAAAAAGCTTTATCGTGGAGCCAGCAGGTGACATAGTGGTTAAGGTGTTGCATTTTCATATGGCCAACAGTGGTTTGAGTCCCAGACGTGGCAGCTTGAAAATTACACCTGGCACATGTGTGCGCAGTGCCAAAATCCCAAGAGGTGAATGGATGAGATGGGACGGCAACATGGCCATTGCCCCTTGGGGGTAATCTCTCACTTTTCTCTCTCCCTGTCTCTTTATGGAGTGCACACATCCTGTGGCAAAAACTTTTTTAAAAAAAGATCATTGAAAAATGGTTTTAAAAAATTAAATCATCCTTTTGTCATCCTTAACTAGATTTTTAGGATCAATCTTTTGTTTCATTTCAGCCATGAACCAGAGAATCAGTCAGAGTGCTCCAGTCAAACAGCCACCACCCCTGGCGCCCCAGAGTCCACAAGGTGGTGTCATGGGTGGCGGCAGTTCCAACCAGCAGCAACAGATGCGTCTGCAACAGCTGCAGATGGAGAAAGAGAGACTGCGGCTGAAACAGCAAGAACTGCTTCGGCAGGTGAGGCCACAGGTTAGAAATCAGCCTTCCACTTTTTGGGGTTTGTTTTTCTATATAAAGCTGAGTTAATTTTGTTTTAGTGTGTGTTAGTTACAGGAGAGTGTTGTCTCTGTAAACCTAGAGTGACACAGAAGCATTCTGTCCCCTTGTCCTTGTCTTTCTTGACTGACCTTTGTTCATATGAAATGCATCTTGTAGATCTGTATTAGCTGTTGTGGCTGTGGGCATGCAAGGACGCCACCTCAAATGTTCATGATTGTAGAGTGCTTCATCTTCTGAGGATTTCACTAAAGGGGAAACTCTTGAGACATCATTTGGGGGATAAACATATTTTGCTTTAAAAGATGTTTGGGGGTACACCGATATGACATTCCATGTATGACAGATATGTGTCAGTATTGCTGAATCTGAGAATTTTTATTTAAAATATAGTACAAGTTATTCCTAAATTCAGAAGATCCCATTGTACCTTAAAATTACTGCATATGGATGCTTTTTCATGTTGGGAAGAGTAGGGCCTACCAGTGGAGAGTTTGAAGCCCAGTATGACTGTTCCCATCAGTATTCTTTCAGAAAATACTATTGGTCTTAAAATAATTCTTTAAAAAAAATACTCTTGGTCTTTATGTTTCAGAAGAGTATATAATCTCTCATAAAAATTAATTTTTACTTTATTTTGTTTCAGAGTGGTTAAATCTAGATATTGGATATGTGATCATATGTCACTATAGATATTATTAAATGTTTGTATTAAAATATTTTTATAGACTAAAAACATTCAGTAGTGAAAGTTTGCAAAAAGTGAAACTACAGTGGAAATAAAATCTCCTTTCCTCTGTTTCCCTAGTTCTTTCCTCTGAATGTAAAAGACTGAACTTCTAGGGCCGTTTTTTTGTACCCCCAAATATAATATACTTACAAACATCAGATTCATGTGTCTATACTCGCTTTGTTTAAATGTAGACAGACATTTAAAAATCATTGTACTCTACATATCTGTGACAGGATATAGGCATTTGAAGATACATGTTTTAAAGGACTTTCTAAATTAAGTATTGCTTGAGTGTCAGGGAAAATACATCAGTCTAACACTTAGCTCTGAACTCTGATTTGGGATTTGAGGGAATGGTCCCTGAGAAGTTAAACTGAGTCATGAGATCCCAAACAGAGGAGCGTTGAACCGTGTGGTGCTGTCAGTCACCTGTCAGTGTGATTCTGCAGTGGCTGGAGGCAGAGGTCAGCCCTGATAGAGCAGTGAGAAGGTTCAGGCCAGCATATGATTCAGGAAGTGGTCTTGAAAGAAACATTTCTTCATCTGCCATAAAGATGGAGAGCGAAAGAGTATTAACACAGTTTATTGTGTTAATAAATGCCTTTGTAATGCTGTTTATTACACTATACTGACAATATTTTTCATTTCGGTAAATCTGTATTATCAGAAAAAAATAGTATCATGGCTATTAGAAGAAGTGAAGCAATTTAGAAATATATTTTACACAACTTGTTTTCATTGTTTGCTGTTCATTTTGTTGTTACTGAGTATTAGTTGGTCTGTCTAAATATAGGACTTAATTTCATATTTGGAGAAGACTATCCAAATCAAGAAACTTTAATAAGGAAAAAGTTCTGCAATTGCTAATGTCATAGTCTTGCTGTTTTTAAGATAATTTTTGAAGTCCAGAAATGGCCATTTGTCATTGTATTGTATACCATACACCAGCTTGGGGTTTTTGGTGGGCAAAGTGCTGCTGCTTGTAAAACTCCCCCTTCCAAAGGATCTTTCTAAACCTTACCCTTACTCTGGGTGATGGCTCCTGGACAGAACAGCTTTGCTCCTTACAGGCAACCTCTGCCTTTCTTCCTTACTACCTACTCTGTTGTCTTATGTTGAAGGGACAGACCTGCACCGTTCTCATTCTAATAGTCTATATTTTAGTTTTTTTTTTTTTAACCAGTATACATTCAGTATATCTTTAATCTTTTGGCTTCCTAAGAACTTCTACCATAGATAGTTTCTCTTATCACTGAATTATCAAGTGTAATTTACCTGCTTCATCTAATCCTCAGAAACAAAGAACCTACTTGACCAATATCAAAGTTTATTTTAGTCCTGACACCTAAAGTCTTGCTATTCTGTCCTAAATGCTATTAAACAATATTCTGAGGTTTCGGTTTGGTTATTTGGTGACTCCATTAGCTGCTATCTTCCTCGGTCTGCCGCTTCTTGGGTAGCTTGGGAATTCTGTGCTATGGCGATCTATCTGGATACAATTTGTAAGTCAGCCTACACAGCCAAACCATGTGGCTTAAAGTAATTTTTATCCGTCTTATCTTTTACTCTTAGGCAATGCGGAATATCAATCCCAGCACAGCAAATTCTCCAAAATGTCAGGTAGGCTCTTAACTGATGTTTTAGCATTGGAAAAAAAAAAAAAAAGATACTAAACTAGGAAAGAGAGATACTTTTATTCCAGGGTCCTGTCCTCATTGAAGATCGGCCCAGAGAATAACTTTGAGCTTTCTTTCTACCACAGTACTTAAGTTGATACTGCTACTCCGAGAACACCTGCACTATCTCCTCCCTTTCTGCCCCTCCCAGAGAGCGTTCCTCGGTCTGCCGCTTCTTGGGTAGCTTGGGAATTCTGTGCTATGGCGATCTATCTGGATACAATTTGTAAGTCAGCCTACACAGCCAAACCATGTGGCTTAAAGTAATTTTTATCCGTCTTATCTTTTACTCTTAGGCAATGCGGAATATCAATCCCAGCACAGCAAATTCTCCAAAATGTCAGGTAGGCTCTTAACTGATGTTTTAGCATTGGAAAAAAAAAAAAAAAAGATACTAAACTAGGAAAGAGAGATACTTTTATTCCAGGGTCCTGTCCTCATTGAAGATCGGCCCAGAGAATAACTTTGAGCTTTCTTTCTACCACAGTACTTAAGTTGATACTGCTACTCCGAGAACACCTGCACTATCTCCTCCCTTTCTGCCCCTCCCAGAGAGCGTCTAATGCTCATTTTGGTTCTGTAGAGGTCTTTTGTGAATGTTACAGTTGAAATGTGTTGTTCTCAGTTGTGCATCCTATTCGTTTCAAGGTGTGCCTAATTTTACTTGGCTAGCTTAAAGTAGTATTTTTAATTATTTAAAGGAAGTAATAGCAACAGAAACTATACAGATTATTTAGAGAAAGTACTTTAAAAAAATTTTTTTTTAGTAGAAATGCCAAAGGAAGAATATCAAAATTATCAGAAGAATGAGGATCTGCCTGGATAGCATTTCAGGTTTCTTTGTTGACTTTTAAAACATTTATCTCTGTCGAACCCCAGGGAACACTGGTTGTGGAGGCATCTTACTGTTTAAATAGAAAGATTGTGGCCATTTTTCCTTCTAACATAGGCACCTGTGTGACTCAGGTGTAGAGTCTCATTCTTGAAACCAGTGAGATGCTACATGTATGCTTAGGGGCCAGAAGATGTGGGAAGAGGAATAGCTAGAAGACTGTTGCACTCTCCTGGGATGGGCATAGGCAGCCGTAAAACTCCTCACATTCCGTGGAACTCGCTCATTCTGCACTGGGCTAAATACACTGATTGTTTCAGGATCAGCTGTCGAGGTGGGAGTTCACAGAATTCCACTCATTTTGGGTACTGTTAGCTTGCCCACTGGAGCACCAGTGGTGAAAAACTCAGGCGTCTATCTCACAGAGACCAGTTTACTTTGTGAGAGGCAAAACACTATTCTTTTCTATATCATAAATGCCTCCATTTAATCAAAAAAAACAAGCTGTGGAATAACTCATATGAAGTCATCTTCTCTCAAGCAGAGCACAGACATTCTTACGATGGGGGCACTAACATCACATTTGACTGAAGAGGAGCATAGCATTGAATCTTTCTTTTTCTTACTTAAATAGAAGAGTAAGCAGTTGGGTTTTATTAAAATTATAAGGAATTCTTAGATACTTTTGGTAAAACTTTTGAAATGGTGAGGATTATAAGTAATAAAAACTGTAAGATCATTGAAATCGCAGAATTAATGACTTAGATTTGCTTCGGCCAGAGCAAGAAACCTGTATGAAGATAAATTTTTTAAAATCCACTTTGCATGTGCTGGGGATTGAAATACTGATACGTTGTGTACGCTTTATTTACCAATATATTTACCTGATTCAGTCATAAAATGTCAGTAGATATATGAAATTCCAGTATACGGTTAAATTTGGAGTTGCTCAGAGAAATGTATCAAACATTCATACATGTTTTTCTTATCCTACATATTTTCTAGATGACCTTAAGGTGGATGTTAGGGAAGATTTCACAAATACCAGTCATAGCTTATGTGAAGATGGCTTTAAATAAAGCTTATGAGGATAATTAAGAAAATCAGAAAAGGCTTCTAGTTTGAAAAAACAATGTGTATCTAGGTATCATTTGAATGGCAGGCACTGTTCTAAGTTTTTAAGGCCTTTTGTTTGTCTTTTAAAATTTCGGCTGTTGTATTTTTACTTTTCTTAGTGCATTTTGGGTTCACAAGCAACAGTGTCATTACTGTCATTACTGTCTAGTTAGATTCTTCATATGTTGTAGGATGTGGGAAGGTACCAAGCTTCAAAGTGTTTGAATTACTACCTACAGAAGCTGTCTTTGAGTACTTCTGATAGGGTTAACAAATCATGTCTGTATTCCAGGACTCTGTGGACATGCACAGCAGTGTCAGTATGGGTGAAGTTAATGAAAAGTCCAGGTCGTGACTTAGAGTGAAATGTAAAGTTTTGAAAAATAAAACTTTAAAGACATTCATATATTGTATCTTTTTTAGTTAAATAGGGAAATTATCACTCATTTGTTATGACATGTTACAGAATTTGGGAAAATTTTGTCATTATAGAGCACGAGGTTTTAATTTCATTTTGATAATTATAAATTTTATATTTTAAAAATCAAGAAATTTTTAAAACTGTCGACATCTCCGCTTTGTGAGATTGAACATTTAGTGCTTAAATTCCTACTCATATGTCTTTCTTACACATCAGTGCTCCCTTGTAAATTGGAGAAACCCTATGAGAGAGTGTATTTTGGCTTCTGTTTCAAGGTCTTTGAGAGAAACACTTGGAGGAGAGATAGTCCGTCCCAAGTGTGAATGCTGCTTACCTTCTCTTGTGTTTAAGAATGTGGTTCTTGGTGTCTCCTATGAGATCAGGTCTGAACTGTGCACCCTGGCCTGTGCTCTGTGCTCGGTCATAGCCTTCTCGCACTGACTCTGGTAGGTGCCCTCTGCGGCCCTGCAGCTCTGCTCCCCAGCAGCTCTGCTTCTGCTCACGAGCTCTTCCCCACAGCCAGAACTTTGCCTCTCCCCTCCCCTCTTAGTAATTACGATTATCCTTTTTTATTATCTTTTTGTAAGACCTAAATCAGAACTCATCCCCAAATAGCCTTCTTAGAATTCTCTATTCTACCCAGAAAATGAAGACAAGACTGCTGTGTAAAGTTGTCTAAATTTAGCGACTAGTCTAATTCCCATCTAGGTGGTCGTGAGAGAGATTTGAGATTATTTTTATTTCTGAGCAAATAAATAGTTGCTTTGATCTTCATAGAATTTACGGCAAAATACTCTGTAGCTAATGAGTATTGTGTCATCATTCCTCCTGAATAGTGTGGACAGAATCAGGGTCAGTTGCTAGTTTAATGAGCGAAATATATACAGTGTTACTGCTCAGGGTTATTTTGTACTGTACCATTACCCCTCAATAGTGAAGAGGTTCAGACAGCTACAATTTTAGTCAAATAGAGCAAAATAATAATAAGACCACTGTTCAGGGTTGGCAGGTGGCATGGTGGTTAAAAACGCTGAATTCCCGGGACTAGCAGTTAGTGTAATGGCTATGTCACTAGACTCCCACGTAGTTGACTGCGGTTCGAGTCCCGGACCCAGTGCCTTCAACTCACGCCAGGCACGTGTGCCTGCGTGCCCAAGATCCCGAGAGGAGAATGGAGGAGAAGGGATTGCAGTGTGGCCATCCTCCCTGGAGGGTGATTTCTCACTTTCTGTCTCTCTGTCTTCCTCTGTCTTTCTGGCGAGTGCACGTGCCCTATAACAAAAACCTCTAAAAAAAATGTTTGTAGAAAAATGGAATTAAAGTACTAGCTTGTTTATTTTAAAAAAAATTGCCAATAATTTTTTCCCCTTAATGTAGTAACAGCAAAGAGTTTAGCTTTTTTCCTCTCCAAATTGTTTTTCTTAATAGTAAACGCTTGAAAAACTGTTTCAGAATTGTAGCACTGAGGGACTAGATGGTGACACAGTGGTGAAAAACATAATGCTCTTTGAAGCAGTTCCACATAGGAAAGTTCCTGGTTCAAGTCCAGATACCTTCCTGGTTATGCTGAGCATACTTGACTATGATCTGGGGTTGGCTGAAGACCAGGGTTGAGCACAGCATCAAAACCCTGTTGGAGGTGCTTTCTGTATCTCTCTCTCAGATGAAATAGATAAACTTTGATTAGGGGAGAAAGAAAAAGAAAAGAATCTTGGGCCAGCTGGTGGTGTGGTGATCAAGGCAGCTGGATTCCATATTGTTGACGGTGTCTCTTGAGTCTACAGCTTGAAAAATGCATGTGCACCCAAAAGGAGAGATGGAGAAGGGGTCTTGGGGTGACCATCGTCCATGGAGGATGCTTTCCCACTTTCCATCTCTGTCATGCTCTTTTTCTCACAAGCATATGTGCAGGCAATTCTTTAAACAATGTCAGGGTCAACAGGTGGTGTGGTGGTTAAGGCACTGGATTCTGGATTCCCACATGACCGACTGTGGTTCTAGTCCTGGGCCTGGAGGCTTAAAAAAAATCCCACCAGCTGCACATATGTGCACGTCCAAAATCCTGAGAGGAGAATGGAGGAGTAAGGAGTGCAGCTTGGCCATCCTCCCAGCAAGTGATTTCTCACTTTCTCTCTCTCTCTCTCTCTGTCTCCCTCTGGCAGGAGCTCATGCCTTATGGCAAAAACCTAACAGCAAGAAAAATCTTAACATTTGTTTCCATCATTTTCTTTGAAGTCAAAATATTGAATAATCATTTAGATGTTTTCTTGTAAATATTTTATATTTTATTTTTACTAGGTAAATTAAAAACTGTATAAAAGAGAGGGAGGATTTAGCATCATACCCTACATACTCTTTGGGAGAGGTTTTTGCAGTAGGGCACATGTGCTCGCCAGAAAGACAGAGAGAGACAGAGAGTCAGAAAGCGAGAAATCACCGCCCCCGCCCTCCCCAGGCAGATGGCCACGCCGCAGTCCCTTTTCTGTTCTGCTCTCGGGATCTTGGGTATGCATGCACATGTGCCCAGTGTGAGTTTAAGCCACCGGGTCTGGGATTTGAACTGCGGTCGACTACA